GGTTTTTCAGGACACGCTGAAGAAGTTTGGGCTTCATCCTGTAGCCTGGGGGTGGGGATGGGGAATGACAGGAACTTGAACGATAGGCTTTCAGTCATCAAAATTGTTCTGGCAGAAATGACTTGGATGGACTGGAGGGGACGCTTAGGTGAATGCAGGCTGGTTCAAATGGCTGTAGAATTTGAACAGCTGTGCTGGCCTTTGACAAAAGGCCTGTTTGTCAAGGGCGTTCTGTCCTGGGTTGAGTGTCCTGCTGAGACCTAGCTGTGTGACAGAGGGAAAGCCAATGGGCTTTTCGGAGTCCCTAATTTCTTCATCTGGAAAATGGAAATGCTGAACATGTCCTTACAGGTTTCACCCAGTTCTGAAATTTTCTAAGTCTCATGAAAAATTTCTTCTTGAAATTTAATCTTGGGTAGTCTTAGTCTGTGGAACTGGGGCTGATTTCTAGAAACCTGGAATGTGCTTGAAAATATCATGTATTTTCTCCCTCTAGGAAAGAATCAAAATTCTAAAAATTAATACAGCATTATGCTTTCTATCTTTAACACCACTTATAAATAACTTTTATTTTGTTGCCGGGTAACTGTGACCCAGAAGAGTTGACCTTGCTTAAAAGAAACCCAGTCTTCCAGTCTTGGTGTTTTTCTAGTCTTCTCATACAGTGGCTACACAGAATCGATGGGAAGCTAGGTCACAAAAAGGTATCTTTGAGCCCATGTTATTGTTTTCAGAGCCAGTCTGTTGCCTTTTCATAAGCTATTACCAAAGAGAAGGAAAAAGTACCCACCAGCTTAGTTCAGAAAAAGTCTACCATTGCAATTTCCAACTGCCCTATTCATTAACAGGGTTATAGGAAAGAGCCATTCAAAGACCTCTGATCCGCGTTATAAACCAGGGTACGGTTTGGGGGTGCAAAGACAGGGTGAACGAGTCATCCCCGTTTACTGGAAACGTTCTCAGTTAAAGCACTGAAAAGTCTCACGTCCCAGGGAACCCCTCAGCCTTAGACAAACCAGGACAGCGGTTCACCCTAAGAAAATGCCCTAAAGATCCAGAACTAAGTCAAAATCCTACCTTGTCTTAATCTCCCCACTGAGGCTCCTGAAGAGGCCATTTAGAGAAGAAACAGCAGCACAGGGTAAATAGCGCTTTACTTGGTCATCAGTTATTATACTGGGCTCGTCACAGCTCCAGAGAACTACGGGAAAGCTGTGATGGAACACAGGGACCCATCTAGGCACCACTCCAGACGTAAGTCTTAGAGGCTAGGACCCTCTGGCCTGCAGTGGAGTGGACCCAGAAGACTGAGCGCAGCCGAGGGCTGGTCCGTGCCGGGAAGGAAGCGAGTGGCTTGGCGGGCCTGGCTTGGCTCATCTGCTAGTTCAGGAAACACGGCAGGAGAGGCGTGTGTGCACAGTCCAGTCTGGCTAGCTGACGCTTACTGCTGACAGCCTAATCCACACTCGGGAAGACAATGGCGTCCCTTCCCTAGTGGGGGCGCCGGGAGGAGGAATGGAAGAGAGGGGGGCCTTCGCCCGCATGATGCTAACAACTACACCAAACTAAGAGGCATGGAAATGTCACTGTGAAACCTCTATAAGAAATACATTTTGAAATAAATTTTTACAATCAAAGCTTATTTCAAAGTAATAGAAACCCTTTTAGTTTCTTTAGTAGACAATTTATTTTGATAAACTTGCTCAATAACAAAAATACAAGTGAAGAAAATTATGTTCATTTTATACATTTTATATTAACAATTTGTTTTGAAACTATTAATTGAAAAATGTTATAACCAATTAGAAAACAATTCTTAATAAAACTTGGGGTAATACACAGACCTTGCTCACAAACTTCAAAATCTCTTGCGGTGATTCAACGAACCAATCCTGTGTAGAGAGTCCACCCCACACAGGCCACATTTTTCCTTCATATGTTTTTATCCTTCAAATTTAGCTCTGAAAGACAAATTAGCTCTGAGACACTTTGCTGTTTTGTGCGGTGAATGTGAATTTAATTTTTAGAAGAAGATTAAAGTGGGTTCATAATCAGAGTAACTGTGGCTAGTAGTCTTTTAATAAAGATAAAATAAACGCAACAGTTCTTCCCATGAAGCCCACAATGCAAAATAATAGCTAAGAGTCCAACCAAAGTTAGTTTCCGATACTTTTCAGGGCCTTTCCTCTAAATCAATAGATTGTATGTCACCAGGACTACTTATTATTTACTTAAGAGATTAAACAGTGAATTCACAGAACATCAAGTGGGGATAACAAAGCTTTAGGCAAAAGGGTGAAAATCAGTGAAGTGTTTTGGTCACCTAGAACATCAAAAAGAAAAAAAAATGAGCCGTCCTTCAAAAACAAAACAAATGGAAGAGAAAATAAGTTTGTAAGAAGTAGAAGAGTCAGAAAAATTACATACACACATTAACAACATAGAACATGGATTACCTTTGGAAAGACTCATACTGAAATGTTTGCTTTTAATGAATTGAAGATTTTCCACATTTACAGATGTTTAGGCATATTTAATAGGAGCTTCCAAAAATTTCAAACTAAGTCCTGTGCAAATAAAACCTATAACTAGTTTTCAGCAGATTTTACAGTGTGTTCTTAGGTATGAGAATAATGCACACTCTAAAACAATGTAACAGACAGAAGTTTGACAAATGATTGCACCATAAAACAGTGTTTTATATACAGTTTACAAGCTATGATTTCCTGCTATAAATTAATACTGTACTATATAGTACTTATTATTGTGACTTTTTAAAAGCAACTGCTGACAGCTGTCTCTCTGTTCACTTATAGGATGTACAGAAGTTTACATGAGTGAGGCCATCTCAACATTTGGTCTGGAAGAGCAGGAAGGTCTGACCTCACCACTATTCGATGGGACAGTGGAGCCCTGGTGGGTGCTGACTCATGACAGGAGCCTCCCCCCGGCAGTCCGTTATGCACTGGACTTCCAAGACAACGATGAAATTAAAGACTATGTAATGGTTTGGGCAACAGATACAAATAAAACCTTAAGTTTGTCATCTTGCAATACCACTATAAGTGAAAGAAGTAAACAGCGGGGACATTCTTAGCAGCTGAGAAACTTTCTCTCCCCATGCTCATGATCCAGTTAAAAATATTTTGAGAAACTATTTACAATACAATTCATCTTTTGGAAGAGAAAAGCTCTTGGTCATATACTTTAGTCTGAGCCATACTTTGCTAACACCTTATCTCAGTGGCATAACGGTGACTAGGAAAACTTTCCTTCAAAGTGAGCCATGTGACTGGGGACCAATCAAATGCACCCCCTGGGAACGGCAGTCCCAAATGTCCACAGAGCACGTCCAGTGGCACTCTTAGAACTGACTAGACACTATGGCACTTAAGGAAAGAGTCTCCACCAAGCACCTTCTAAGGGTTCTTTGGCCCGGGTAGGAACAGTGCAACACTCCCCGTAACACTCCAGGAATGCTGGCAGGGGTGGCCCAGCTCCCGCCCCACCCCCACAACAGAATACTGCTGAACGGCAGTGAGATACAGCAATGCTACCACAGGCCAGTGTGGGAAACACAGGGTTCCTCCACTTCATACTCTGAGTATCTGAGGGGCAGCCCCATCTCTGAATGATCCTTCTCTGCAATCTAGGTTTTAAAAAGCAGTGCATCCATTTGTTTGTGTAGAGCTGTACTGTCTAGCTTACCGGCTCCACAGGCCCCACCGACAGGGACATTTGGGTTGCCATTACACTGTGAAGAGAAACTTGGCTCCATTGCCACGAAGGACCCTCCTGCCCCCCACTGCAAACAGGAGGTCACCTAAAGTGTCACCTGGAGAACACTGAGCACTGACCCGAGGCAGGGGACGTGGAGGAGAGCAATGCTGTGGGTTCAGGGTTAGCTGCAATGCTTCTTTTAGGAAAAACATAAAGCTGTGGGTTTAGTACAGCCCTTTAAAGTAAATGCGAGAAAGTTAGCTTTTAGCAAACAAAGGCATACAGCATATAAAGATATTGTATTGCTCAGGTTTTTGGTAAAGGAGATGTATTAATAATGCTTATGGATGAAGAGAACATGAATTTAATTTTTATAGCAGAGTGATACTGGTGTTGTAAATAGCCAAAATATTGTAAATTGACATCACCAGTGAACTTTGTATTTATGTACAGTGTGTACGTGAACACAGAAAATGCATTACTACTGTAACAGATTGAGCCAGTAGAAAAAGAACCTCTGTACAACATACAACAGTTGCCAATCATTTAAATATTGTCAAATTCCCCAAATTACAAGGTTTGACATGATCTCACCTTCTACTATCATATACAAATAAATTAACCTACAAAGAATTTTAGCTTAACTTAAAATTGCACCTAGAAAGATATGGGATTATTTGTACCTATTACAAAAACCTGTTAAAATCAAGGGCTGTTACAAAGAATGAGGTAAACTGAAGACTCTCTCCACTACACAGCCTTCAGATAAATGGCTTTTTTCTATTGAGTTCTAGGTTTGCACACCACAGTGTTTTGCTAGCAAAGCATTCAGAGTTCTCTTCCAGGAACAGTTTCCATGTGTGTATATAAATACACACACACACACACACACACGTGCGCACACACGCGTGCTCACACACACACACATATACACACTATATACTGCATCAGCAAAATATATATATTATATATATTTATATAAATATAAGGAACATTTCCCCCACCCACCCCCAGCAACATGTTTCTTAGTGTTTGATTTTTTTTTTTGTACACAGAGAATAGGGAATTTCAGAATTTTTACATACATTTTAGCAAACAAGTTTTGATCTACTGGCTTCTTGGTGCAGTAATGCAACGGCATTCCCTTCTGGTGCCAAAGGCTCACAGTCCGACAAGGAAGCTGTGAGCACTAATTTCTGAGGAGGTGAGGCCAGCCCCACAGGAAGTTCTCTTGCATCCCTCTGGTCCACCATGACTCATAAATACTTAGAATTTTTTCCCCTCAAATGAATCATTAGACAGTAAAACATAACAACAGTCACAAAGGGCCACATGCTTCCAGCAGAAAGCACCCTCCTTCACTAGGTGCCTATCACAGTGCAGACCTGACTGCCCGAATATACGCTCAGGAAGCTTAGTCAATATTGTCTGTATTTGGTTATGGAAAAGGCTCTCATTTTTTAAAAATCCAAAGTGCATAGTGAGAACAAATCAAAGCATTTTTTTCTTTTCAGCATGTTTCCTCTGAGCATCTTCCTAAGCAAGGACCACTCAGATGCCTTGCCTTTGTCCTCTCCACCCTCCAAAAATAAAAAAATAAAACAAAATAAGAAATAATAAAAAAGTCAAGCAATTTAGACATTCATCAGCCTGGTAAACAAACTTTGCCAGCAAATAGAAGTCCTACTATTGTAAAGAAAATTGATAAGACAAAAAGTACATATGATGACCCAACTACTGTGTTGTTGGGTAATTTATAAGGTTGACCTCCGACTTCATTGATGTAAAATCCTATTGGAAATATTAGGGCAGCCATACAGAAAAGGATCACTGTAAAACAAACCAAAACACAACGTTAGTAACATGGTTCAGTGATTAGGAAAACATGAAAATTTGGAACAAAGGAAGTTTATAAGAAGGGTTGTGGATTGATAACATGGTCAAACCTGTTAAAACATAAACCACCTGTCAAAAGGTTTGCATATGCTACAGATCACATAATATCCCCAAAACCTAACAACGAAATTCTGTAAAAGCTACGTTAGCCTTTTGAGATAATTTCACGTATCAGCATTAAGAAAGGTTGCCAAACCTACTAAGTACCTGCATGATTTCTTCTTAACTAGCAGAGGTGATTCAGGGCTAAGTCCCGCTGTGCTCCCCACAAGCGGTGCGGTCTCAGGCTTCTGGCTCCCTCCTGAACATGGAGTGAACACCAGTAGTACAGCAGATAGTATCAAGTCCCTGGCACAGTGCCAGCCATGCTAACCGTGAGTGCTGAATAAATGTTGCGTATGTCATCGTAGTTATTATTTTGCCAATTCTTTGCTCCTATCACTTGGTATTAGAAGGAATTGGACAAAAGGTACATGCAAGTACCATTTACTTACTCTGGTTTAAAGTCATCTAGTGGAAAGAACCTCAAACTTCTGGGATGATTAGCAAATTGTCTGAGTGGTTATCTCTTATCATGGACAAAGTTCCAAAAAAACCTAACCTTGGTCAGGTTTCTGAATACACTGAGATATGGGGGGGGGGGGGGGGGGGGGGGGAGTGGGGAAAGGAAGGGAAAGAAAACCTTTGGGTTTTGTATGCAAACACAATGAAATCTAGTATTTGCTAAAAATGTTTCTAGAAAAATATCAGAAAACTCACTGTCTGGGTAAAAATTCCATAGGCAACTGTTTAGCAAACAGAATGCTCCCCTGCACTATCAAGGAAACAAACTGCCTATAGAGATAGGCTAGTTTTTCCAATAAAATTGTTGATGCTTTCTGAAAGCACACTGGTAAAATGTGAATAGTTCTTCAAAATTCTTTGGATGCACTGGCCGGTGTTGCTCAGTGGTTAGAACATCAGCCCAAGTACAGAAGCATCTAGGGTTTGATTCCCAGTCAAGGGCACATACCTGTGTTGCAGGTTCAATCCCTGGCCCTGGTTGGGGCGAGTATGGGAAGCAACCTATCAATGTGCCTCTCTCACATCAGTGTTTCTCTCTCTCTTCCCCTCCTCTACCCTCCCTCCCTCTCACTCTCTCAAAAATAAAAAAAAGTCAATGGAGAAAATATCCTAGGGTGAGGATTAACAAAAAAAAAAAAAAAAAAGTCTTTGGAAGCAGAAACATTTCTTAGTGTAACATGAAGACAGATGACTATATTCACTGTATATGAAAAGCTGAAGCTTTCCATTATCATCTGAATGAGAAACCCTTTCCAAGACAGACCTATCCCAGGAATAGTGACAGAGTCCTGGGCACATATCAGCTGACACTTGTCTTAAATTACTTTAGTGTTAGTCAATCAACAGAATTTAATAGAGTCCTTTAAAAGTCAATAGGAGCCTTTTCCTGGAATAGCTCCAGAAATGTATTAAAAAAGTAATATTTTCTCAAGTAACACACTAACTGAAGAGATTCACCAGCACCCTTGTCTTCTTTGCACTTATTTAGGTGGATTATTTTATATTATACACACAGTCCATTTCATTTTGGGTGAATGACCACACAATATTACACAAGCAAATTTGGATTCTTTGCAATACCTACAATAGAAATTAAAAATCCAGTAATTAAGTGTTAGATCTTTTGGTCCTTCTGTTGTATAGTCAGCAATAACTAACTTCATTAGCACTGCCAATGGTCACTCATCACATTATCTGTCACCAATTTCTAATGGTTCTTATGCCTCAATATGGTTTGGTAAGTAAAATGAAATCACAATCTAAGTAGCTATATATAAAATCTATAAAAACAATTTGTTTCTTAATGACTAATTTAATCTCAAAACTAAAATAATTTAGAAATATGTAGATATACAATTCATTCCATTCACTGATGTGCTGACTTTATTTCTATCCTTTCCTATTTTCTGCTGTATACTAAAAAGCTATCCATTACAATGGAGTAATAATTTAATGACTATATTTAAAGTAGAATTTAATATTTACAAGACTTAATTATTTTCCCAATTGGAAGAGCTTAGTCATATTTAAAGAAAGCATTGAACTCTTATTCAATCTAATTTTTGTTTTTAATCCAAAGAATTAGGTTCTCTATACTTCCTGGGGATATTTAGTGTGGGTAGATGATTTTTCTTTTAAGCTATTGAGACCTGAGAAGTTACTTTAGATCTTAAAATATTATTAATGCTGATAATATCTATCAACTTTTGACAATTAAGTTCTGACTTCTAAATAAGCTATAAAGACATTAAGTTCATATCTTCCATGGTGGAGAGAGCTCGGCATCCGGTGTACTGGTAAACTAGGGTGGCTAAGGAGAGGAGCAGGGTCAGGCTGGAAGAAAAAGACACATCTTCGTTACCCTCTCCCGCCATGGGCCAGCCCCACATGTGCAGCTCTCCTGAGAATCCTCCTCACCTCGCATTCTTACCCAATCTACAGCTAACTGGAACACCAATACAGGTGTCCCCCCAAAATGTATAGGGTGTCTGCTATTTTAATTAACACTGGCTTTATAATTACACTTTTTTAGTGTATACATTTTTGGGGGCACCCTACATTCACAATAGAGATGATGATATACAATGGTACATTTTCAGAGGCTGAATGAAAACACTAGGGGGAGCCCAATCCCTCTCAGGACTGCCAACCCAGTGGACAAGCTCTGGTAACAAAAAACAATGTATGTAAGGAAGCTAAGAGTAATGCAGCTCTATGCTTACTTAGATGACATAACTCCAAGTTATATTCTTGAGCTAAAAAAATCAAGGTACAGAATAGTATAAGAAGAACAAATATATACTTATAGAACACTAACACATACACGTACATGTTTTTATGCTTGGAACACCTCCAGTAGGAAATCCTAGAAACTAGTAACAATGGCCTGCCTCAAGGAAAGGGGTATTGGCTATCTGGATGACAGGGCCACAAATAAGACTTACTTTTCACTTAGTGACCCTCTCGTAAACTTTGAATTATGTATCATATGCATATTATTTTAAAAACTTAAATTATCTTTAAAATAAGGGCAACCCACACTGCATGTGGGGGCAGCTTCATATACTTAAATATCCTCTATTGAAGGGCAACAAAAAGCAAGATAATCATAGTTCTTCCCTTTACTGGGTCACAAGAAACAATGGCTCAGTGAGCATCTTAATCCTTTCTTTCACGCCTACTACTTTGCTAAATTATGTTTGAGATTTTTCATATTTATAGCATATGCATTCCCAAATTTCAACTAACTCCAGAAACAATACCCTCCTTCTTTGATTTTACACAAAGAGTGAATGCTATTTGAACAAGTGATTGTACCTTGTGAGCCAAGATTCTCTTTCAATTCCTCATCGACACGGTTTAATTTAGCAGCACTGTCTACAACTGCCTCTGGACTTACGATCTCGAAAAGAACTGTCCTGGGAAGTCTGTTTGACCTCAAACAAGATCATCTCCTTGCCTCATATTTCTTAACAAAGATGGAGTTTTTTTTAATGTCAAAAGCAACTTGATCTAAATTTAAAAATTAAGGTAGATATAGAGACAAAATAAAACAACAGAACCAGAACCACACATCAAGAAAATGAGTTTCACAGAGAGAGGGAGAGACAGAGGCTCATGAACTAATATCCTTACCTTATGGTCTTACAGGGAGACATGGAGTTTTAACATTAACAGGGACATGTGGGATGATGCCTCACCCCTAGTGTATAAGTTCTTCGTGAAAATATCAAGTGGAAGTAAGCTGGTAATTTTTAAAAACTCACGCAAACCTGAGATGGTTTTAGGCGCTGCATTGGAAGTGGAATCCTGTGGTGTGCCAGGGTACCATCACCCTGTACCTCAGAGCGGGCGGGCCCTGCTGCCAGTCTGCGCCGGGGACACAACCCTTTGCTAGGAGGCCATCCTGTGTCTGTAGGATGTTTACAGTGTCCCTGGCCTCTGCTCACTAGGTGTTAGCAGCATCCCCCTACTGGTGACGATCAAAAATGTTTCCAGATATTGATAAATGTCCCCTGGATGAAAAACTGCTCTGGAGAAAAATAATCAAGGAGGTAGAATTATAGAAATAGCTTTTCTTCATATATTTTTGCTTCCTTTAACTTGGTATAAGTCTCTGGCATTTTAAAATTAAACCAATTCTGCAAAGTACAAGAGAATGTGCAATATATAAATATATCATACCACTGGGCACTGACTAACAGAGTAAGAAATGTTGAGAAACAATGATTAATAACCAAATGTGTTGATTTTTTTCAATGGTCACATACAGCTGACAGAAAAAACTAAAAAATCAATGGTATTAAAAAGTACATCAGTACCTTAATCTAATTTACATTTGTTATATTTTCATCTAGATTTATCTTTATTTGATAGCAGACACTAATACCTTCAAGAAGAGGAAAAGACTCAGTTGAGTAACAGACCTCAATACTCATGTCACAATGTGAGTAAAATAAAATTCATTAAAACAGCATTTCACACACAACAATTAAGGTTTGGATGTCCTGGTCTTGTGAGAATTCTGAAGAGCTGATGGGACTGTGCAGTTTATCTGATGGCCACACACAAGTAGTGCTCTTGGATGGTTATGGAGTCCTTATTACTGATTCTTGATTATCTTCATGAAAATACCAGTGTGCACGCCTTCTAGACAAATTACTAGCACAGGCTACTTACTTCCAGTGAATGCTATCCATCGAGCGTATTTTGTAGCTTCTCTTCGCCAGTGGGAAGCCACCAGCAAACCACACGTGACAGTCAATGAAATGATTCCCATGATGATAAAAAACAGAGTGGTGACCCACTCCGGGGGGAGCCGAGGGGGAATGCACGTCCGGTCTCGTCCGTGGATTGTCTGACACTGCCGCACCAGGCCCACTGTGAGCGCTCCTGAGGATGCAAAAGGTGGGAATGCGTTAGTGGGTTTGGCATGCCCAGGGGTATTCCCTACCAAACACCCCTTTCGTTCATGTTTCTCTCCATGTGGGTCATTCAAGCACTTAATTCTACTGAGTTGCACTCTTCAGCATTCTGCTATAATTAATAAGGTAGTAACACTTGGCTTAACATAAAAGTAAACTTAAAAGGCAGTTCATTTAATCATCATTAAACAAACACTTTTCTGAGTACTTGTGTCAAGTGCTATTTCTAGGCTCCAGGAAAATAACAGTGACCCAGAGAGATGAGGTTCCTGCTCTTGCTAGCAGAAAGGGCTGGAACTTCTATTTTCCCAGATCCAAGACTCACTATATATTATTTTATTTTGGCTGAAGAGAAAAACACTTCTCAGAAAATTGAAGGCAACTTAAAATACATTTAAGCATGATATACAAGTAAAATTAAATACTAGAACCAATATATTTTCTTAAAGTTAAAAGGTTTAAGAATATTATAAGTACTTTTCCATTATATTCAAGAAAATGTTGGAAAAACTAGTCAATCTCCCCCATTTAGTAAATTCAGTGAGGTTCGTACAGCATACACGGGTTCACAACTGCCAAACCATCTGGCATCCAGTGGTTGGTCTGTACTGTTGCTAAGATTCATTTTCTGAGTAAGACTTGGTCAACATAATTTCTATCATACTCACACATGTTCCATAAGCTGTCTGGGGAAAGAGATCTGCAAAGGCAATTGTGCTGCTACTACTGAATCTTCCAAATTCTGGTCCTATCAGCACCCAAAGTTTTACCATGAAGCATGAAGGTATAAAGTGCCCCTTTCTCCTTATTCATTCAAATGACAGGAAAGTGACTTTTGTAAAACATAAGGTGTATTTTATTTATTTTTTAAAAATGTTTTTATTGATTTTTTTTAGAGAGAGAGGGAGAAGAGACAGAATCATCTATGAGAGAGAAACAGCGATCGACTGCCTCCTGCTCACCCTCTACTGGGGATCAAGCCCGAAACCCGGCCTGTGCCCCGACAGGGAACGGAACAGGGACCTCTCAGTCCACTGGACAATGCTCAATCCACGGAGCCACACTGGCTGGGCCATAAAGTACTATTTTAATGTAAACATGTTCTCATATAAAACCGAAGGAACCCCTCAATCAAATTTGGAGTGTACTAATTTCTAGAAACCTAAATAAGAAAGGGAAAGTAATATTTCATCTCCTCCACGAAAACCTGCTTGTCTTAAGGACAGCTGAGAATGGGGAAATCGCAGGAAAGAGACTTGTGGAGCCACTGGAAACAAAATAGATCTCTGCATCTTTTTTGGGTCTTAATTAATCTTCTCAATGTGCACAACACAGCACTTGCCTCGGACACGTGGCTTTCTGAGGACAGCAGTAAAACGCAGAGGCATTCTGGGAGGCTGCCTGGGGGGAGAGCCAGATGGGAGGTGTATGAGCACAGATGTGGGGGGAGGGGGCTGTGAGGAGAGGGGCCTTTCCTGCAACTTGTATTTTACCATTGATACAGCTTTAGAAAATAAAGCAATATGTTCAAAGAAAATAAAGCAAAAAAAAAAAAAAAAAAAAATCAGTTCTGTTCTCAAAACTGGGTTGTACTCATTTTTTATTCTTCTAATGAAGTCTGACCACGTCTTTCAGAAGAATGAAAGAGGATAACTCGAACAAATTGTGCGTTTTTCTCTCAAATCACTTAATACTTAGACCCATCTTGTGCCATCAGAGGTGCACACATGACCGCGTGGGACCCTCTTGGCAGGGAGGGCGGAGGGAAGTGAGCTACCTTCACATCCACGCCCAGCTGTCCCTTCTTCTAGCTGCTGCTTGGAGTCTAGTGACCTCACAGACCAAAGAGAAGAGAATCAGTTCAAAGTTTTTGACAATTGTTAACCTTTAAATTAAAGTATCATGGCAACTGCTAGAAACCAGAAAGGGGAAGAAGATGGAGGTAAGCACCAGGAAGCTGCAAAATTGTTCTTACACTGAAACACTAAAAAGTCTCCTTGAAAAGAAAACTTGGGGGAGAGGGAGTGTCTTATTATGATAAAGCATTTCATTGTACTTTTGGAAATAAACAAGGCTTTCATAGCAGTGCTCAAGAACCCCTAAACAGGAAACTACTCCTGATCATTCAGCAGAGGACTGTAACAAATTAACCTCTGTAGTCACTCTCCCATTTATAAAAGCTGAATAGACAACAAGAACCTCTGACAAAGTGGATTCTGATGATAGGCCCACATCTCCCAACTGCATGCCACACCACACGAATACAAGTGGAACACGTCAGAAAATGAAAATTAGGGCTCTGCCTTCTACAAACCACATGGAAATAAGTAACCTGACAGATGGTCAGCTTTAAAAGAAGTCATGCTCCTGTAGTGACAGAAGTCCTCATCACCACTGGCCAAGACCAAATATTCAGCAGCTGCATTCTGGCAGAGAAGAAAGCAGATGCTACCAGACAACCAGAAGGACACTGTACATAAGAAAATCACTTCGCAGACATTTCACTGAGTGTCTCCCGTGTGCTCAGCACTGCTGCGGTGGTCAGGGACTCCAAAACCAACACTGCCACCCTTGCACTGTAAACAGACTTTCCGTAAATACATTGTACAAGGCTACTGCAAACTGCAGTCAGTCCACACTGCTGCCAAGATTCATTTTCTTGAGTAAGACTCGGCCAACATAATTTATATCATACTCACACATGTTCCACTTGCCTCAAACACATGGCTTTTTGAGAAAGGGATCTGCAAAGGCAGTTGTGCTGCTACTATGGAATCTTCTAAATCCTGGTCCTGTCAGCACCCAAACTTTCACTAGCTCTTTAAATTTCATCTTTTACCTCAAAGAATTATCTCCTGCATAGACTCAAGTCCATTTCTACACTTACTAGTCAAGATCTTTTATATTCTCCAAATTCTCTGAACACATTCAGTATGTATTACACAACTGTGCACTTGATTTAGAGTAGCTTCTTTTTATCCCAAACAGAAAATGAGCTTTTCAGGAAGGAACTGAACCTTCTACTTCATTGGAAACCCCAGAAAGGCCTGCAGCAGGGGGCAAAAGCAGGAATTAATAAGCATTTGGTGAACCTACACAAGTAAGAAACAAGCCAAATTTAAAATCATACTGTGTTAACTATTATCTCCTGTAGAACTGTCTTAGGTGATTTCCTGAAGCACACTAATTCAACACAAGTTCAGCCAGTCACTTATTTTCGTTTTAGCCAACAAATCTTTTGCTTCTTGAAGGGCCTATAAAATTCCATTTCCCAACCAACCAATCCATCTTCACCCTGCAGCTGTTTCCTAGGTAACTAATCCAGCCGAATAAAAGACTAGCACATGATAGAAAAGGAAAACCACGCTAGGACTGCAGCATCTGCATGCGTCTAGGTATTCCACCTGTGTATTATAACACCAGGGGGTCACGATGAGTCTTACCCTGTTACGTGGGGTATCTGAACCAAAGACGCTCTTGACAATCATCTTCTATAGATCCAGACACCTGAAGTGATTTGGCATGGCCAGACTGAAAATGTCTGTTGCCGCAATAAGCACAATTACTAGGCAGGCATGTTATCACTACACGTAAAAGCCATCACAGGAAACCCAAAACAGGGATTGTAGAGCAGAGAGGCACACCCACCCACCAGAGTGTCAGCAAATCACATGTGGTGAGTACCCACCAGCCTGGACATAGAACGAAGTAGGATGACATGGTTTCTCTCTCTCTCTCTTTTTTCCTTTTTATTGAATTTATTGGGTGACACTGGTTAACAAAATTATACAGGTTTCAGGTGCACAATGAGCAGTCAATCCCTAGTAGTATTGAGGATCTCTTGTACATGAAAATTCTTTCCCCCTGCTGTATTCAAGATTCTCTTTATGTTCTTTGCTTTTGACTATTTGACTATGATGTGTCCTGCTGTGGATTAGTTTGAGTCTATCCTACTTGGAATTTGTTGAGATTTTTCAACATGCAGATTTGGGCCATTATTTGCTTAAATACTCTTTCTGCCTTTTTTTTTTCTCTCTTCCTTCTGAGACTCCCATTATGTGTTTGCTGGAATAGTTGATATCATCTTATGGGTCTCTTTTATGCTCTGCTTATTCTAAAATTTTTTCTGTTCTTCAGTTTAGATGATAACGATTGACCTGTCTTCAAGTCTGCTGGTTCCTTCTGCCAATTTCCATTTCATTTATTGTACTTTTCAACTCCAGAATTTCTATTTTCTTTTTATAATTCCCATCTCTTTATTAGATATTCTCTGTGTGGTAAGACATTGTTTTCTTATGTCCCTTCAGTTCTTTACCCGTGGCTTCCTTTATTTTCTGACACGTATTTCTCACAGCTGACTTAACTCAGCCTAGGAGGCCCAACGTCTGATTCCTCAGGGGCAGTTTCTGCTGACTTTTATTTTTCTTGTGTATCAGCCCTACTTCCCTGTTTCTTTGTGTGCCTTGACATTTTTAATTGATAACTGGAATTTAAAATAATACAATGTGACAACTGTGGACAGCATATCCCCCTCTCCCCAGGTGTGTTGCTGTCTGTCCCCTGACTTTCCTGGAACAGTGCTGGGAAGGACACGCTGCTGGCCTGAGCCTTCGCTCGTGCCCTCGGCCGTCAGCTCGAGGCTGGGAGGCGGGCGGTCTGAGCACCCTGACTCAGGGTCTCAGCCTGGGCCCTCTGGCCCTGGGAGGCACAGCTGCCTGAGGACGCGCTCCTGCTGGGCAGCCACAGACCAGCCAAAAGTAGGAGGGCCTCTGCGGGGCCTTCCTGGTGAGCGGCAGTCTTGGCTGGCTTTCCTGTTGCGTTTATGGGAGAGCAGATTTCCAGAAGCCCTTTTCTACCATCTCAGAAGTTAAAATCCGCAGGTCCCAATTGGACTCAGCTTTGCCACACTTGGGCAAGTCACTTAATCTTCCTAAGCCTGCTTCAAGCAGAAAAATAATATGACTTACC